TCCTGTCTTTTGTTTAACGCAAACTTTTAAACCCTTTGTATTGACCGCAAACACAGTCGATGAGTGAGAGGGAGAGAGAGAGTCATTGAAAGTGTGTGAGAGAGAGAGAAAGAGAGGTACTGTAGTACTGTTTATGCTGTGTGGGGAAAAGCGTGGGGCGTGGGACAGTAAAAAAAGTCATATATTTTTAATTATTAGTTAGAGATTTATATTTAATAAATTACAATTAATGATTAGTTGAATATAAAGTATCTTACACAATGAATGTTTAAATCAAATAATGAATACATATAAAGCTAAACACGATTTAATTGGAACTAACTATTCATAAAGACATAAAATACTTCACTTGGCGGACGTGGAAAACAATACAATACTGCTAACAGTAAGTGAAACTAATTTCAATATTTACTACATATTTATGGAATTAATATTAATTAATTGACCAGGGTCAAGTAAATTCAATAGCACTCAACTAACGAAAATGTTATTGAATAATTGTTGGACAACAACAACACTGGCGATGATTGTCATCGTTGTAATGGCAGCGGCTGAGCCCGAGTCGGCCCACAAAACAATACAAGGATTAGACAACGCGTCCAAAGAAGATGTGGAATACATTTCGGAGGAGAAACACATCACTATATATGTGAGCAAAACATGGAAGGGGTTGTCAGAAAAAAGGCACTCGATTTGTGTGCGACAGAGAAGTGCACTAAAGACAATATAGACACGCATTCATGTGTATTGTATATTATGCTCGGTAGAAAATCTGTGCGCTGTTGGACCAACGAAATGATCAAAAATGATCAGTTCCAGAAACGCATGGTACATCCTGATTTTTCCGTCAAATGGGAGTGATATGATTATTGCGTATAATCGTACATGGTGTGTGTGTGTGTGTGTTTTATATGTTAACTGTTTAATTCATGACATGTATCACGCATCATTTTAAGTTTATAATTCACATTTTCTTATACATAACATTGTGGATACCTTTTTACAATCTTTTTTAAAAATAAATTTAAGTGAATTATAATTTATAAACTTAAAATGATGTGTGACATGTATGTACAATAAAATGATTATTAAATAAAACACTTATATATTTAATTTTATAAATAAATTTAATTTTTATATAATTTTTGTGGTTTAAAAATAATGTTGTTTAGTTTAGATATACTTTATATAAATTTACTATAATTAAAGAGCTCCAGTACTTCCAACACAACCTTATTGTCTGGTTTTGCAGATTTGCGGGTCGACGGGACGGACGGCAGAGCAAACACCGGGTCCACGCATTCAGCATCGCTAACACAGGCGCTGGTATTTGTGCCGTAATTATCAGTCCTTCAACTGAAGTTTCGTCCGCATTGCTATCATCGGGAGTTGTCTGTAGTGCTGATGTGTCTGTATTTCGAGCGCCGGTACGTCTGTCCACCACTACATGCGGTTCGTGTGGTTGTCGTCGCTGTGGATCCGATTCAGTGGACAACTTGCCAGTCGGATGTGTGTCCAGTGCCAGCGTTTCACCGCTTGTTTCAGTGGCCAGCGATGGTTTTGCTGCCATTTTCGGCAAAATTGTATTGAGTTTTGCTAACAATTAATTTTGTTTTTGTATTAAAGTTTGTGCGAAGTGTAGGAAAGGTGTGTTCAATACAACACTCATTATCTGTTTTATTATAACAATGAATGACAAAAAAATAACAATTATTTTTAAAAGTTGAAAATTACATAAAATTTAATAAATAAGCTATGGGTCTGTATGGCTTCTCTTTGCAATTGCTTTTAATGCACTGATTGGAAGTACTTTTGTGCAGACATTGTGTCCATTGTCTCAAACTTCTTGTATTGCATCCACTGTTTGGCTACCGTTTGACTGAAACACACGTTTACAACACATTCGCTGTTTGTATTGCGAGTCCTGTTTTGTATACTTTTTAAGCTTTAGATGACTGGAATCGTTGGACGTGTTAATTCTGGATAAATACAATTATGATAAAATTATAGTTAAAATGTTTAAATATTGTAAATAAATTGAAAGAACAAACTTGCCATTAACATGTTGTTATAGAATTGAATGCCGATAATCATCATGATATAATTTTGTTGTCAATACTACTCTATTGTAATGAATATTTAATTAGGTTTCTAAATTTTTTAAAAAATTTCTAAATTTATATGTCCATGTTTAGTTATGGTAAATGTCGGCACTAATATTTATGTCCATTTATTAATATGTGAAAATACTGTATGTAAAAATTACATACATTATGTTTTATAAATAATAATTATTTTTATTTATTGGAATTAACAAAAAGTAAATTTATAAACTAGACAATCCTATACTTTATGTATTGAAATTAGCATCATCCGTATTAATGAATCCATATAATTAAATTCCTACACCCGACACAATTCCGTTCCGTGTTTTAAGTTTACCTAACGTTTTAAGATGTTGTACTGTAGGAATTGTATGAAACCGTAATTAATTAACTCATAGTGCAAGTAATTAAAATTATAATTAAATTTTATTTCACAAACACTATTAATTGGAAATAACTATACATTCAAGCATACGTGGCATATACGGCACGCCATACAATATAACTAACAGTAAGTAAAATTAATTTCCATATTTGCTCATATTTAATAAATTACATTAATGATTATTTAATGATCAATTGATTATAAAGTAATTTAAACAATAAATATTACTTTATAAACAAAATTTAATCTGAAATAACTATTAATACAGGCAGACAATACTATACAAAACAATACTGCTTAATAACAGTAAGTGATATTAATTGTAAATATAGTGCCATATATTTAAGGAATATCAATTACTTGATTCAATAGGTCAAGTAAGTTCAACAGAGAGCAACCAATAACTACCATGTTATTGAAAAATTTTTGGACAACAACAATGGCAATGATTGTCATCGTGTTGATGACAGCGGGTCAGCCCGGGTCGGCCAACGAGGACAATGGAAGAACAAATCCTCCTACGGAAGGTGAAAAAAAGCTGTACGACCATGTACCAATATACCTGGACAAGAACTGGAAGAACATGAACGAAAAACGCGCGGTCGATGAGTGTGTGAAATTGGGGTGCAAAACAAAACAGGCACGTACGCACGTGTGTGTATTGTTACAACTTGGCGGTGAATGTATACCCATGAAGAAAATAAAGGATGCAAAGGACGGCAACCTCTTCAAGAATATGGTGAATAACCGTAAAATCGCTCTCGAATGGAAATAATATGATTATTGCATATTATCGTGCATTATATATGTGTTTTCTATGTTAACCGTTTAATTCCTATGACATGTACATGCATTAAAATAATCATTAAATAAAGCAATAATGTTTTTAATTTTAAAAATTAATTTTATTTTTATATTATTTTGTAGTTTAAAAAATATATGGTTTAATTTATATATAGTTTATAAAAATATTCCCGAATATTTCGAGCTCTAGTGATGACAGATGTGTAGTTTAAACGATGTTACGTCTGTCCTCCACTACATGCGGTTCGTGTGGTTGTTGTCGCTGTGGATCCGATTCAGTGGACAACTGGTCAGTCGGATGTGTGTCCAGTTGTGCCTCCGTTTCACCGCCTGTTTCAGCGGTCGGCTATAGTTTTGATGCAATTATTAGAACAATTGTACTGATTTTGCTAACAATTAATTTAATTTCTGTATTAAAGTGTGTGTGAAGTGTAGAAAAGGTGTGTTCAATACAACACTCATTATGTGTTTCATTATAAAAAAAATAAATAACAAAAAATTATTATTATTTTGAGTGAGCCTTCTAGGAAAAAAATTACAAGCTTACTTAATAACTAAATAATTTAGGAATTTTAGTAGCCTTTACTTCACATTAGTTTAATAAATAAACATTCAAACTATGGAAAAGTGCACAAAAATCTATCTGAATTAGTTTGATTTTTATTTACTAATCTATTACGAAATAAATTAAAACAACAATAATTGCACTTATTGCAAAACTTTAATTAATGCAAAACATAACAGCTATACAAGTATAACATAAATAACTTATATAATTAAATTAGTTAGTGTATTGATCTACACATTTATCAGCCAGATTTCTTTGGACATTCACTTTCGGTGACACACTCTTTGGTGGTGTCGTGTATGAAGAAGTCACGCGCGCACTCACACGCCGGGCCCGGGGTCTCCATGCAGTTGATGGGACCGAACGTACGTCTATTGGAGCAACTGATGGGACAATGAATGGACGCCTCTTCGTTCCACACCTGATTGGCTTTCGCACACTTTACCGGTTCGGATGCGTTGGCCGTGGAGTCGGCAGTGGTTGTAGTTTGCGGTGTTGTTGTTATTGTTTTTGTCGTTTTTGATTTTTTTGCTGATGTTTTCGATGTTGTTGTTGTTGTTTCTGTTTCTGTATCGGCTACTTGTAACAGCTTATCTGTCGGTTCCGTTGTTGTTGTTTCTATTAAAATATAAACATGCTTATTACAAAACTTATCTATTTAAATAGCAATTATTGCAGCTAGCTGGTGCTATTTGCGACATAAATAACCTAGCGCGTAAACAATTGCGTACTTTTCTTTTTAGGCGCACAATCTTTTAAAAGGACACACTCGGCAGTGATGTCGTGAACGTAATGGTCGGGCGCGCACTCGCATCCCGGCCCCGGGTATGACATACAGTTGATGTCTCCGGTCTTCCAATTGGAGCAATTACTTAGACATTTGTCCGCATCTTCTTTCCACGCCTGATTAGCTTTCGGACACTTTCCCGGTTTGGTTGCGTTGGCCGTTGAGTCGGCCATCTTTAACAACGTGTCGGTTGACTCATCTGTCGGTTTTGTGCCAGATTTGGGACATTCACTTTCGGGCACACAGTCGCTGGTAGTGGTGTTGTCACCGGTGAGCACATAATGGTTGGGCAAACACTCGCAGCCCCCGACACAGCTCTCTTCTGTACAGTCAATGCACATCGAAAAAGCACTCGTCTTTCTATTGTGACAACTCGTGGGACAGACAGACGCGTGTGTTTATCACTCCTGATTCGCTTTTTTGAATTGAATACCAAGTCTATTATTATGCTCTAATATGTTAGAATGCTGTATCTAAAAATTGGTAAATTATGTTTTATAAATATTGATAATTGTAATTATTAGAGTTAATAAAATGTAAAATTATAAACCAAACCAACCTTTACCATATGGGTGAAAATCAGCATCATTCATATTGAGCTCATATAATTAAATGCCTGATCCGACACAATCCCATTCCGTGTTTTAATTTTACCTAACCCTCACAGATGGTGTACTGTAGGCATCGAAATAAATCATAATGAATTAACTCATAGGGCAAGTAATTGAAATATAATTAAATGTTTACAAACAAACACCATTTAATTGGAAATAACTATTCATACAAAACAATACAATATTCCTCACAGTAAGTGAAATTAATTTCAATATTTACTAATTTTAAATACATTACAATTAATGATTAGTTGAATATAAAGTAATTTACACAATGAATGTTTAAATCAAATAATCAATACATATGAAGCTAAACACAATTTAATTAGTATTAGGCCCGTCAAAAAAATCGTGCGCCTCGAAAATTGTTATATCTCCTAAACGGAATGAGCTAGATCAATTCTGTAAACTGTAAAACAATGTTCCATATGTCTAGTTTTTTCTATCAAAAAATTATGGAAATCACGTGACTAGAACATAGAAATTTTTGGGTCATTTCGAAATGCCATTGTTTTAGCCCAGTTGAAAGAGGGGTCGGAAGGGGGCGAGTATGCTATTCGGAAGAGGAGATGTCAAAGTATATTATAGCAAAGTTTGATTAAGATTAGTCCAGCCATCTACAAGATATTGTCAATTTTATTAACATTAGGTCTATGGGAAAAAGTTGTTCTGAAGTCGACCTTTTATAACAACAAAAATGTAGTATAAAAAGGTCAAAATTGGGCTATTTTTGTCCA